CCTTCCTTCCTTCCTTCCTTCCTTCCTTCCTTCCTTCCTTCCCTCTCATTTGTCCTTCCTTCCTTTCGTCCTCCCTCCCTCCTTCTCCCCCTCCCTCCCTCGCTTTTGTCCTTCCTTCCTTCCTCTCTCCCTTCCTTTGTCCTCCCTCCCTCCCTCCCTCCTCTCATTTGTCCTTCCTTCCTTTCTTCCTTTCTCCTTCTTCTCCCCCTCCCTCCCTCTCTCCCTTCTCTCTCTTTTGTCCTTCCATCTTCCCTCCTCTCTCGTTTCCTCTCCTTCCTCCCTTCCCTCCTTCCCTTCCATCTACAGACGCACCTCATCAATTCCCTCATTCCCAAGGGAGCTGTACTTCACCCCGGCAAGATGACTCACCCGGGCTCGGCTCAGCCTGGAGCCATCATCGCTCCGAGCCCATTTATTTCTTTACTCGTTTATCATTCACGGGGCTCGTCTTCTCCTGCCAGCGCTTCCTCCGTGTTTAGACTCCAACCCCCTTTATAAAAGCCACTGGCTCTCCTTCCCAGGGGTGCGGCCGCTGGCGAGGGCCTTCTCTCGCGGGCCTGAGTCATAGCGAAAGCCCCTGATGGCTGCATTTCAGAGAGAGCATTGGGAATTTCCCCTTAGATAAGGAAGAAGGGATAAGGTAGCTCAGAGGTTGATTTATTTGCAAGCCTTGGCATATACCACCCGGCACCCAAAATTTACCCCAAATTCTGGGCAGGTTGCCTTCTCGTCTAAGAGGAAAACAAGACTATTTTCAGAAAAATGATTGGGCCTCGAAAAATTGAACTAGTCCTCATCTTACAACCATATTGGGACTGGAACCTCTGTTAAGGGAGTTGAGTTCAATCGGACCTTTTGGCGCTCTCCTTCTTAAGCACGCATCACCTGCAGAGGTAAAGTGAGCCATCCTCTCATTAAGTGAATCCGACTTCTCTCATGGACTCGGCTTGTCGGAAGCCAGCTGGGAAGGTCTCACGTGACCCCAGGACCCTCATAAATCCACGCCAGTCGCCAAAATGCTTGAATTCTAATTGCACGACCATGGGGACGGTCATAAGTGCGAGGATTGGTCATGTCACATTTTTTTTTTCAATCTATTGTAGCTTTGAATGAATGACGAATGGTGGTAAGTCAAGGACATCCTATATCCAGTTGGTATTTTTCCTCGAAAGGAAAGTGCTTGGATTGACGTTCCCCCTCTTCCTCCTCTCTGTAGCCTCAGCCCATACAGCTACGATGAAGGCTGCCTTTGCAGTAGCCAGGATCACATCCCACTCGCCGCGCTTCCTCTCCTGGCCACATCCTCCCCGCAGTACCAAGAGGCGGTTGCCACAGTGATCCTGAGAGCCAATCAGGTGTACGGCGACTTCATCAGGTCCCAAGAAGGGGCATCCTTCAACGGCCAGGTGAGCAGGAGGTGGGCCTCCATCGTTAAGAGCTAAGCCAGCTGGCCTTTTTCCCGGCTGGCGGAAGCTCATCAAAACAGGTCGTTGAATGAGGGTTGATTTAACACCCCCCAAAAAATCGTTAATACGTTTGTCGGCTTATTAAATAATTCCCAATTATTGAAAGGAGTCGATCTGCAGAACCGGTGGGCCGGGGACCACTGGTGGTCCACGAGAAAATTTTGGGGGTCCACAGAGAAATGTCCCCCCCAAAAGCAATTAATCCAGGCTGCGCAGGAACACAAGGCTGTGCCGCCCACATGGCCCGCCCACCCACTGGCCCCACCCTTCGGCCAAGCGCAAACCTTACCTTGCATAGAGCCACGCGAGCTAGAACTGGAAGGTAAGACCAACGGCGGGGAAGAGAAATCCGCCCCGGGGTGGCTTGCTGACGTTGGTGGGAAAGTCGGTCCCATATTCCAGAGCTGCAGGAGTCACAGGACTGGCCCTTTGGTCATCCCGGAGCAGCTGCTCCTCCATCCAGGTGCACCGGCCGGCCATGCACTGGAGGAGCTACTCCGGGATGACCAAAGGGCCAGTCCTGTGACTACTGCAGCTCTGGAATACGGGATCGACTTTCCCACCAACGTCAGTCAAAATTCATATTAGTGGTCCGTGTGGTCTAAAATTATGAGTTTGGTGGTCCCTGAGGTCCAAAAGGTTGGCGGCCCCTGCACCAGGATCTGGATTGCTTTTGAAGAAGTCACTGCCGTTGAGGAACACCAGCTTGGATCAAATTGTGGCTGTGGCTTCCTTCCTCACCCCAGGAGTAGGTGAGATGTAGACTTTCAACGTAGACCTTGATCTCATCCCCAAAGTCCTTGAAGCCAACATGGTCGCCCCCTCTAACTCCACTGTTAGAATCGCCACTGGTCAAGATGAAATGGGAGAAACAGGTGTGTCCACCCATTCTTGACCTTAGTTGTCCTCACCAGTTGTCCTCTTCTCACCAGCATGAACTTCCCAAGGGAATGTTCTAGAAGCCACATATTTTTTTGAAGGAGAGAGAACATTAATGGGTAAAGGAGAAGCCCTAGGCTGCAGCGGCCTAGATCTTTACGAGCTGAAAACGTACCGGATGCTTTTTCTGCTTCCACCACCACCTGAGGAAAATCCTTAGAAACCAGGTCCCTTCTCTTTTCAAGCTTAGTCAACGGGCCCTCCATGTAGCCATGGATGAAAGTAGCCTTCGTCAACATCTGGCATTAGACAACACAGCTGGATCCACTCTCCTTGATCTAAATTCGTGATCTTCAAGATGGTCCCTCTCAGTAAGCCCTCAGGCAAAGCTTTCTAAAGATACCCAGAGCCTCTAGACTCAACGCTTCCCAACCTCAGGCATTTCTTCAATTCCCAGAAGTCCCCTCCAGGATCATGCTGGCAGTGGAATTCTGGGAGTTGACATCCACCACTGCTAGAAAAGCCCAAGGTTGGGAAACCCTACTCTAGCCCTTTCGTTCTCTGCTTTCGGTTGGAAACTTGAGTTGGAGTCCCTCAAAAAGCAACCAGGTATGGGTTTTTGTTTTCCTCAGGTGTGCCTGATCGGGGACTGCGTGGGAGGGATCCTGGCCTTTGACGCCCTTTGTTATAGCAACCAGACGATGGCAGAGAGTCAGAACAGTAGCCGGCGTGGAAGCGTCATCAGTGTGCAGGTACGCAATCTCTCGAGTTGGTTCTGGACAGAAAGGAAGTCGAGCCAGATTGACGCATAATCCGGGACCCTCAAAACCCCATTTGGGGACCTCGGGGCCAACATGAATATGGCCGCTGAATTATGACGTTCAGTGCAACGCATGGTAAGTGACAATATTCGTGGATTTTGGTTCTATTTATCTTGGGTTTAGTTTTGTCCCCGATCCTGGCTGTTTATTTGTCATGGCCCTGATCCTTTGGAAATTACACAGAGAAGGAATCACAGGCACGTTATGCTCTCTGGAAACTGGACGGACTCTGAGATCGACACTGAAATAACAATTCCAGAAGGCATAATTCTCCACGATTCCTTCTCGGTGTAATTCTCCCATTTCACCTGTGCAAGGCCAGCGCTGAGTTTCGTAAACCTGCTTAGCTCACCTGTTTATTTATTAAATTTATAGGGCACCCTTCTCACGGTCAAGGGACTGTAGATGGCTTGCTGCAAGATTAAAATGATCATATAAAATAAAAGTAAAAAAAACTAGAGGTTTCAAACATGGTAACTTTAAGGCTTGTGGACTTCAACTCCCAGAATTCTATGGGAAGCCTAAGCTGGCTGAGGAATTGTGGGAGTTGAAGTCCACAGGTCTTAAAAGTAGCCAAGTTTGGAGACCCCTGGTATACAACCCCTAAAATACTAATAGGATAAATATGAAGGTTGAGTGGTGCGGTGGCCTAGAAGTAGAGTTCTCGCCTCACAATCAGGAGGCTGTGAGTTCGAGCCTCCACGCTTCTGATCGAAGATCTGAGAGTCAATCTTTGCCACAACCTCCTAGGGCAAGACCTGAGTCGTTAACTGGGGAAAAGTGACAGTTGACAGGGGTGTGGCAAAGATTATGGACTCAGTCTCCGGCCAGAAAGGTACGTGTCAACCCATCCATGGATTCTCCATTCGTCGTGCTGGAGAATATAACTGCTGAACAAAACTCCTCATCGGTGACAGGAAAGGCATCCAGCCAGTAAACACTCAGCTCCATTCAGTTGCCCAAACTCCACCCTGCAAGGGATTATGGGGTCATTAAAAGGGAGATGGTGATAAATAGGAAGATTGCAATTAATCAAGATTAGCTCAGGAAGGAACCCATCTACTACTACAGGGTGGAGATAAACTCGGACACAGTGGTTGGGGATGGGAATCGTTGAGCATCCTTCCACGGAGATGCAAATGCTTGGCAAGTGCCAGTTATCTTTGCAACCTCACTTTCTCCCCTCTGGGCTGGCCGCTAAAACCACAGCAGTCACAGAAATAGTCGGATTGCTTGCTGAGTGCAAAGCCAACAAGCAAGGGGGTCAGCCGGTCTAGCCGCCAGCTCTCAAGCTGGCGGTCAGGCCATGCACGGACCCGGGGGTGGGATTCTACCAGTTCGCACCAATTTGCTAGAACCGGTTGTTAACATTCTAAGCAGTTCAGAGAACCGGTTGTTGGAAGAAATTACTGGGCTAATCCTGTAAGGAAGGCAGGAAGGAAACATTCTGGTGTTGCTTACAGAAACTGCCTCTCCGTTAACCCTTATTACATTCTTGGCAGGACTAGACTTCCTGTCTCAGAAACGTCTCTGGAGTTTTTCCCCCCTCCTTTGCTGGTATTTGCTTGTGTGGAGGGACCATTCAAAGTTATAATGGCACTGAAAAAAGTGACTTATGACCCTTTTTCACACTTACGACTGTTGCAGCATCCCCACAGCCACGAGAGGCTAGGTGAGGAGATGTGTGCCTCAATGTGAGTGATGTTGAGTTGGCCACGCCCAGCCAATAACATGACCACCAAGCCACGCCCACCACCTAAGCCACGCCCATAGAACCAGTTGTTAAAAAAAATTGAATCCCACCCCTGCACGGATCTCCTCCTTTCTCCAACAGAGCTAGAGGCCCTTCTGGCCTTTCTCAAGAGTCTGATGACCTGGCCTGTGTCCTTCCAATTCCAGGACATGGACCTCCTGTCTCCTGGCATCCTGGTGAACAACAGCTACTGCTCCGAAGGCTGTGGGTTGGAAGCCAGCCGGCATCTCAGCCGGAGCACGGCCGACCTGCCACGCAGCAACGAGGAAGATCCCCAGAAACAGCAGCTGCTGCGGAAAAGGAGCGATTCATCCACCTTCGAGCTGGACACCTTGAAGCAGCACCAGGCGTTCCTGTCCAGGTAGCTTTTGCAGAGCCGGAGAGGTTGCCCCGGTTGGGTGCCACGTTTTTCTTGGGAGTACCAACAGGAGAGGGGAGATTTGTAGCTCGGGGTTGAACTGTGGGGTCCTTGGTGCTCTCTGAGCTTGGGTGGTTTTCTTGCAGGATGTTTCATCACCCAACTAGGGAATATTATCAGGGAGGGAGGGAGGGAGGGAAGGAAGGAAGGAAGGAAGGAAGGAAGGAAGGAAGGAAGGAAGGAAGGAAGGAAGGAAGGAAGGAAGGAACTGTGAGGTCCTTGGTGGCCTCTGAGATGGGTGGTTTTCTTGTAGATGTTTCATGACCCAACTAGGGAATATTATCAAGGAAGGAAGGAAGGAAAGAAAGAAGGAAAGAAGGAAGGAAGGAAGGAAGGAAGGAAGGAAGGAAGGAAGGTAGGAAGGAAAGAAGGAAGGAAAGGAAGGAAAGGAAGGAAAGGAAGGAAGGAAGGAGGGAGGGAGGAAGAG